AGTGTGGGTCTGTATGTGTGGGCAGATGGCAGCAGGGATCCCAGGGTCATGCTGGTCATGCCAGTTCCATGAAGGCCTCTACTAAGGTGAATTCATACCACTACCTGAAGTCATGTGTGGCCTCTATGGCTTGTTGGTTTGCATATAAAGGCCGGCCTCAGGCTTCCCTCTCCTAAGCTAAAGACCTCACCAGACAAAGGGGAAAGCCCACCATCATGAAGGCAGGCAAGAGTAATCCATGGGGATAGAGGTCAGAATGGTGGTTACCTTTGGGGGACATGCCTGGGAGGAGGCACATGGGAAGCCACCTAGAGTGATGGAAATGTTCTACAACTTAACCAGAGTGGTGGTTTTGCGGGTAGACACACATGTAAACATTCATCAGGATGAACTTTAAGGTGTAGGCACTTTCACATACGCAAGTTATTTGGCCCACCCCACAATTCACATTATGAAGAGACAAATCAGGCTGGGTAGTGGCGCATATCAGTAATCCCAGCATTCTGGGAGGATGAGGCAGGAGGATTGGCTGAGCCCGGGAGTTTGAGACCAGTCTAGGCAATATAGCCAGACCTTGTCATTACAAAAAAAATCAAAAAATTAGCTGGGCATGGTGGTGTGCACCTGTAGTTCCAGCTACCTGTGAGGCAGAAGTATGACTGCTTGAGCTAGGAGTTCGAGGCTGTGGTGAGCCATGATCGTGCCACTGCACTCCAGCATGGGTGACAGTGAGACCCCCAAATCAAAAACAAAACAAAAGAGACAAAGCAACCTGCAGGTTGTTCTGCAACATATCCCCAGCTGCGCCCAAAGAGTGAGCATCTTGAGGTTTTCACTCCTGTCCTAAGGCTGCCAAAGTGGAAAGGCAGAGATGGAAGCCCATGGGGTGATGAGCAGGCCCCTGATTGGGACCGTGTGGCAGGGTGGGCAGAGGCAAAAGAAAGGGGGAGGCAAACATTCTCCGGAGCTCCCTGGCCCCTGCCCCTCTGGACACCCAGGGTCGTGGATGGCACCTAATGAAGTTGCCGTGGCAGCCATGCCATGACCAGCTGCCTCACAACACAGTCACATTTGTTCCGTGTGCCCAATTCTGGGAACAGATGGGGCCCTCTGGGGGCAGGCTGCATCTCACCTCTGACCTCCATGAGCCCCGACGTTAACCAACTACAAAAAGTCCATGACCTTACTCCGAGGGCTGGGACTGCAGGTTCCCCGTTGCAATGAATTAAGCCGGTGGCTCTGAGGTGCCATACACCAAGGGAGCTGGCACTAGGAGTGGACTCCAGCCTGCTGGGCTTCCTCATGCCTCTCTACCTGAGATGCTACAGGATCCAGACCAAAGATGCCACTGCAGACCAGGTCCACTGTGGCGGGGGTATGAGGTAGTCCCAAGCAGTCAGCCGTTATCCTGACAGGCATCCCAACACTCAGGGGGTGTCTTTCACATGCCGGGAACCATGTTTGGGTGGGATGATGAATAAGACTTTGCCCACATCCTCCCCACCTCACCACCCTTACTACCTTCCTAACCTCTATTCAGGATTGGGGGAAAGGAGGTCATCAGAGTGCCGAGGCCCTCTGTCAGATAAGAACTGGGGGTAGGAGCTGGATAGTCCAACACATGTGATACACACCATTCCTTCCCAAACCCACTGGGCATCCAGAGGCTTCATTCAGCCAGACACTCAATGCAATGTGAAAAGGACAACTGCCTTGCTGATGCTCCCTACATGCCTGTGCCCCAGAATCAGGACCACAGATTTGGAGATGGCAGGTCCCCCAAAACCATTTCTACTCCAACGTATTTGCCTCAGAGTTGAGGAAACGGAGGCCCAGAGTGAGGAAAGCCTAGCCAGGGGTCACAGAGTAAATTAGGGGGTCCTGGGTCTAGCCAAAGGGTGGCTAAAAGTTGTGGGCCCACAAAACAGCCTATCACACTCTCACACCTAATCATGCCCACAGTTGCCCTGGAGCTTACAGACTCCCAGAACCTGCCCAGGGGACTCCAGGGAGACAGTTAACCTTTTCTAAAGAAAGGATGGCTAGGGCAAGAGCTTCCTGCCCCAAGCCAGCTGCTAAGCCGGGTCACTGGCTGTCCTCCTCCATCAGAAGGCAGCAGTCTCTTGGATCACTACCCCTCATTTCCTCAACAGGCCAGCGGGGTTTCACTTCAGCCCAGTTCTAACTGCTGGGAAGGAGAAGGGAATACCATGTAAATACAGCCAGGAGGTAGGCCAGGAAGCCAGTCAGATGCAGGGAATCCAAGCACCTCTTGCCACGGCTCCCTACACATTTCTGGTCAGACTGGGCTAGGGTACTTGGAGGGGTCTGTGCCCGGGATAGCACAATGCCAGGCCCACCTTCCCAAACAGGCCTTATTGGGGAACAGGAAAAACAGGGTTCTCAGTCACCAGCAGGCCCTGGGATGCCTCCTGGGAAGATGCCTAGCTTTGGACTGGCCCTGAACACCAGGCCCTGCGAGGAGCCCCAGCCTTGGGAACCAGAGGCAGGGAGTCCTGGGAGTAGCTATCCCTATATCCAGGCCCCCCGACGCATCTGCCCGGCTCTCTGCCCCTTGCCCTCCGCCACCGGGCGAGCAGCAGGTGCAAGACGCCGGGGTGGCACTGAGATGACACAAAACCACAGTCGCCCCCACCTCCCCAACCCTGCCGGCCGCCGCCACAGCCCTCCTGCCCCCCTGGCTGGCGCTTCCGTTTGGATCCTGAGATGGAGGTGGAGGGGGCAGGTAGCTGCCCGCCACCCTCAGACCGAGGGG